TCCAAGAAGAGCAGTCGCCACACGTCTTCGAGTCACGGCTCCAGGGACAGCCACCGTCGATCGGGGCACCACTCCAGCAGTTCTTCCACGGCTTCGTTCGACTGAGTGGACAGCTTTGCTGCATGATGAGTTGGCAGCTGTAGGCTCTCGGTCCCGGCAGCGACACATGGCGGAGATAAAAGGGACTGGACGCACTCTGGTCACAGCATGGAGGACGACAACCGTCCTCAGGAGCTCGAGTGAGGAGGAGAACAGGGAAAAAAAGCGAAGATATTGGTACCAAGAAGTGGACCAAAGGAGTGGGAAAAGCGACGCATAACTTCCATCTGCGACGACCTCATGACGACTTTATGACCTAGATTACGGCTTCCTGCGCGGCACCTCTGATTTCGATTTCATTCCCTTTGCAACCCGGCCGGTACTTTTTTGATTTTCCAGACAAGGCCATTGGGCTTGATGACTTCCTTCTTCCCCTCCAGAATCAGCATTCCATTATTCAAGACCTTTTCTCTTTCTTCTCCTTTTTGATGACCAGGCGCTTTGGCTGGGGATTGTACAGTACCAGCCGCTTTTGCCGTTCCCTGCTTCTTTCAACCGGAACCATGCCCAGAGGCGACTCTGGCGGCCGACTTTCACTTTTTCTCATTATTGGACATTGGAGGTTTATAATCTTGCTTTCCATCATGGGGCCAGGGACGAAGGAGGCTATCTTTCTTGTTTTCTGATGACACGAATCCTCCACACAACAAAAGATTGCTACGAAAAAAGACCGCGGTGGGGGATGCTAGACTCTTTGGTTGAGCGAGAAAGAGAGAGACAGAGAGAAGGATGAGACCAAAAATTGGGAAATGGTAGGAAAAGGAGGAGCGGGGGAGAGAGCGAACGAGAGAGAGAAGAGCTTTGGACGATGCGTACGCGCGACAAGCCACTCTCTCTCTCCCCCGTCTGATGTGCCTCAAAAGCGAAGCATTTTCTATTCTGCATTTTTGGGACCAGCGTGGGAACATTGGTTTGGACTGGCATCTTGATTTTGCGCCATGAGAGAAAGAGAGACAGGGCGGAGGATGTATTGGGACGGGGCGGGATTTGCCGCCAACCTACGGGGAGATGAGAGTGTTTGGGCCCCAAAAGTTTGTGACAGCGAGGCCGATTGGGGATTTTGGACAAGATGGAGGGAGGAGGAAGGCAAGAGGAGATGTGGACTTGATGAAGGGAACCACAACCCCCCAACGCGTTGCTCTGCGGACGCGCGGCTATGATGAATAATGACACCACCAAGACTTTACGACAAGCTTATGATGATACTTACAAGACCGAACAAAAATCAATAAACAAATAGCATTTCAGCGGCCTTTTTTTTTGCAAAATTATTGATATTGCTTATATGCGCACGTGAACGGCGAGCGTTACATGATGTCGACATGGTCCAGTTTGTTGCCCCTTTTCTCACATCCCGCTCCTAGGTACCCTGTAACCGTCAGGTCCAGGTGCGGGATGGCGGTTGGAGGGATGGTGGACGTGGTGGTGGTGTGACTCGGAAGACGCCGGACAGCCGCGCGGGTTTCGGGGGATGGTGGTGGGCTGGAGTGGTGGCCCGGAGCCGATGTGGAGGGCGGACGGGAGGGACGCAGACGCGGGACGGGGGCCAGCGTGAGACAAAGCCGCACTTTACATGCGTATGTATACACGGGATCGCACGGGGCAGATGATCAGATTGATTAGCTACCTAGGCTGGGCAACCGCGGTCCGGGCTGGGTTGGGTTAGGGTGAGTGGGCTTGAGTTTTCTAGAAATTAGATTTTAGATTCACGCTTGGTACCCGTGGATGGGGAGGCGATCGAAGCAAGGGGGGTAGGCACAGGAACAGCAGCGGGCGCGGATTCGAGACGGGTTTTGGAAGCCAAGAAGTGAGGAGGACGGATAAGAAGGGAAAAGTAAAGAAGGTGCTTCCTGGCATCCCACGCGGGTTCGTTGTGTTCTAGACACTTTTTTTGATTGAGTTGTCTGTTAGGCTGTTTCGCTAGCGTGATTTCACATCAAGAGGCAACGTGTTTTGTTTGGGGATGCGGCTGGATCAGGGGAGCTTTGCTCGTGGTCTAATTTGGAGGGTGGTGGTTGGGATGACGGGATGCAAGTCTACCGAGGTGTTTGTCTGGTGTTTTTCCGTTGCATATGTCATTGAGTTTTGTCTGCAGGTGGCATATTCGGATGATTTTTCTGATTGAGAGGATCGGAAGTCGGGACACGCGTGGCAGATGGGAAGGGGTTTTGGCCGGACGGGAGTCCGTGTGGCGGCCGGGCGTGCTGGGATTGCGAGTGTTGTTACAACTTGACGGGGGTGCGATCACCCTCCAACTTGACCAGGTTTTTCGCAGTGAATTATTTCTCTGCTGGCCTTGGAGGGAAAATAGCGACAGAGGGCCATCCGGACGGTCCCGGGATGTGGACGGCGCACGCGGCCGTGGTTTGTTGGATACCTACGGAGAGAGGACTGAACACGTACGTCACGTCGCAAGTTGAGCAAGAGGGTTCCCACTTCGTCCCGGGCTTTCTCCCGCGCTCTTGATTGAAGTGTAGGGATGGAGGCTTTTGTGGTGAAGACGGGAGTTGGCGAGACTGACGTTAAGCAAGTGTGGCTTTGCGGGTTGGACCCGGTGTTTTCGGTGGTCACGAGGATGTGATTTTTTATGGCGATGCCGCGATGGAGGGGTCCCCACTGAGGCGTTTTTGAGGCGATGGGAAACTTGGACATCCGTTGCTTCGGTATGTTTGTTAATGACTTGTTCTGCCTGCATTGACGATGGCAATTGGCAAAGTTGTATTTTTAGGCGTCACCAATCGGAGGGGAAGGCAGAGGCAAGGGAGGAAATGGAAGGGAGAGAGGTGACATTGGAAGAATTCCCATGTTACGAGGAATGAGGAAAATCTCCGGGGGGGTAGTATTTTTGCGGCCGGCACAACACGAGGTTTTTTTTTGGGTGCTTGGTTGCCTGACTGCACTGCGAAAATGCGACTATGACTGCAACTGCTTGTCAGCACCGCTCCGTCAGTTCGTAAATGCCCCCATTCACGAGGTCGTCAGCAGAGGCAACCCGAAGAAGGCGGCGGTCGCGAGTTGAGTAGGGGGGACGGGTCAGATGTCGGTCCCATGTAGGGAGGGACCCGGTTTCGAGGTTAGGTGCTCGGCCGGGAGAGAGTGTGTGATGGCGGATATACGCGCGGTCACCGGAGCGCGGCGGCGGTCCTTTGGGCCAGCAGAGTTGTTCAACTGTGTTTCGAACAACAGTTGATCAGCTGACTGAATGCCACGGTTTCCGTCTGATTCACCCATCCATCCATCCATCCATCCATCCAGAGTCCAGACACAGAGCGGGCTGTTCAGTGCCCATCCCATGGCTGGCTTTGAGGCACAAGCAAGGGGGAAGGGGAATTGGCATTAACAATTTCGCCAGGGAAATTGGGGGAGCCGTGGTCTGTCGATTTCGCAGGTCGGGGCTCCCCGCTTTTGTGTCAATTGCGCATTTCAGCAGATGGTTCGGAGGGCCGAGGCGAGGCGTGTCCCCGGTGCGGTGGTACAAGGCCAGGCACGATTGACGAACTGACGACGACGACGACGGGACGATGACAACCGCCGCCGCACAAGCCCCAATTTGTTGCTAGTAACCGTCCAGCCAGCGTCTTTGAGAGAATGGAATTGGAAGAGAGAGTGAGAGAGAGGGCCCCTGACAGCTGGGCGTAGCGTTCCTTTACCTAGCCTCTTTTCCCACAAGGGGGGCCGCCGTTGGGGGGAGACACGGGATTGGATCGTGAGATCACATGGGGGCACCACCGAGGGGGAGGGGAGGACGGTGATTGGATGAGGATGGGCATTGGCCGTTGTGTACGTACCGAGTGCTTGTGGCGCAGTACATGGGACATGCGAGTGGGCGGTTGAATGTGTGTACCTCTGGAAAACAGCAATGAATCTGTTCAGCGCACCTCGTATGGGGAGCAGAGGTGTTCTTGTTCGGGCGCAAACATCTGGACTGTCATCACCTTCGAGTCGGTGTCTCGTAAACGTGCAGCCTCCCGCCGTCTTGATTGGGACTTGTACCTGACGCTGCCCCGACCCCAAGAGTCAAGGGACGGGAATGTGTCAGACATTTGGAGGCTCCCATAGTGCTCCTTGCTGCGCAGTAGTGTCCAGAAGCCCGGCCGTTAGCGCGCCTGTTCCAAGGGGGGGAGACATGGGCCGGTTGGCGGGATTGGGGGTCCAGGTTCGAGGCGGTGCCCTGTGCTCTGTGCTGTGTGCTGTGTGCTGTGTGTGCTCTTGCCTTGCTGCGCATCACCAGCCAGCAGTGAGAGGATTCAGGAGTCGGTACTCTCTCTACTGTGCTGGTAAGGTATGTCGTGTCATTTTGAAAGGTACCTTTACTCTGTAGCGTACCGAACAAGTACCGCACCTGCACCTGCACCTACCTCCCTTTGCCATCCATCCATCCCAACCCGTCGCATCCCCATCCAACCCCATCCCCATCTCATCCCATCCAGGTCCCTACTAAGGTACTCAAAGCCCAGCTCTCGCAACCTCATCTTCCCGGCTTCCTCCTCCTTCGTTGACCTTACTTTATTCACTGCGCTCGCTCTTGCAACTTTTCAACCTGCTGCTGCCGCTCCACAACCCCTCTCCCAGGCTTCCGTGATCTTCACCTCCAAAGCCTCAGCACATCCTCCGGAGGAAGGCTCGCTCTTTGTACCAGCTCTATTAATTTTTTCTCCTTCCCCCCTTCGCGTCCTCGACCGTCGTTGAAGCTCGGCCCTTCGTTGTCAACCATCGTCATCGCATCGCCAGTCGCCCTCGTCGCACCTTCCACCAGCCTCGAGAACTTCTACGCCCTTTCCCCATTCGTACACTCGCTTGTTTCGCGCGCACCTCAAGGGAAAGCAATCGCGTCTCCCTTTCTGCTCTTCACCAACTCAGAGTCGATTCACGCATAACCACAACCCCCAAACTCCTCCAAGATGAAGGGTGAGTCTTGCCTGCCTCCTGCCCCCTTGTGCAGCCAACGCCCCAGCTGGCCTCTGCACCGGGCCATGATGCAGCATGCTGACGCGCGCAATAGCTATTATTCTCGTCGGTGGCTTCGGCACCCGTCTTCGCCCTCTTGTATGTCCTCTATGCCCCTTTCCAGCTTGACGCGCGGCTTTCAGGAGAAGACCATCACCAGTTCCTCCAGCTGCAAGACACTGGGCGAAAAGCAACACCCAAGCTGACCGCAATGCCAGACCCTCACCCTCCCCAAGCCTCTCGTCGAGTTCGCCAACAAGCCCATGATCGAGCACCAGATCGAGGCCCTCGCCGCCGCAGGCGTCACCGATGTCGTCCTTGCTGTCAACTACCGCCCTGAGATTATGGAGAAGCACTTGGCAGAGGTGGGTCCCATAAGCTGACGATCCCCTCCGAAGCCAGCTGTACTGACGATCCTCCCCAACAGTACGAGAAGAGGTTCGGCCTCAACATCACCTTCTCCGTCGAGACCGAGCCCCTCGACACCGCCGGCCCCCTGAAGCTGGCCGAGAACATCCTCGCCAAGGACGACTCTCCCTTCTTCGTCCTCAACTCGGACGTCATCTGCGACTTCCCCTTCAAGGACCTCGCCGAGTTCCACAAGAACCACGGAGACGAGGGCACCATTGTCGTCACAAAGGTCGAGGAGCCCTCCAAGTACGGTGTCGTCGTCCACAAGCCCGGCCACGCCACCAAGATCGACCGCTTCGTCGAGAAGCCCGTCGAGTTCGTCGGCAACCGCATCAACGCCGGCATGTACATCCTCAACACCAGCGTCCTGAAGCGCATCGAGCTCCGCCCCACCTCCATCGAGAAGGAGACCTTCCCCGCCATCGTCCGCGACGGCCAGCTGCACAGCTTCGACCTGCCCGGCTTCTGGATGGACGTCGGTCAGCCCAAGGACTTCCTCACCGGCACCTGCCTGTACCTCACCTCCCTCACCAAGCAGGGCTCCAAGCTGCTGGCTCCCCCCAGCGAGCCCTACGTCCACGCCGGCAACGTCCTCATCGACCCCTCGGCCAAGATTGGCAAGAACTGCAAGATTGGCCCCAACGTCACCATCGGCCCCAACGTCGTCATTGGCGACGGCTGCCGTCTGCAAAGATGCGTCCTGCTGCCCGGCTCCAAGGTCAAGGACCACGCCTGGGTCAAGAGCACCATCGTCGGCTGGAACAGCACCGTCGGCAAGTGGGCTCGCCTGGAGAACGTCACCGTCCTCGGCGACGACGTGACCATTGGCGACGAGATCTACGTCAACGGTGGCAGCATTCTCCCCCACAAGAGCATCAAGGCCAACGTCGACATCCCCGCCATCATCATGTAAAACCAAAACTCCACTTTGAAAAACTATACCAGGCGTCTCGGATCATATCCCCGAGGCGCCCCCCTTCAGCAAAGCTCTTTACACTTCTTGTCTGCGCGCCTGTTCTTATCGACTTTCTAATTCCAAGTTGCGATACGATTCACCACTCCACTCACGAGTCTCGAGCTTAAAGAAATGGGGGGCGGAACCAAACATTTTACATTTTTGGCTGGCGTCGGCAGGGGGAATCCATTTGGCGAGCACGAAAAGCACTTGGCTTTGCAATGTTTTTTCACACAGCTTTTTTTTTTCTTGGGAAGATGATTGTCCCATTTGCTACGAATGCAGAGAACGGTATCGAGGAACATGCCCGTGACGGATATGCCTCGATCAGCCGTGCACGGAGGGGCCCGAATTGTGGGTTACCTCTGAGACAGATGACAATAAAGACGATACCTGTGGATTGCGCCCCAGATCTTATTGTGTTGTGTGTATGTTATGCGTCTATCCTGCGAGTGTCGAACGACTATCGGGTCTCTGGCGAATGACATTGCACGTTCCCCAAGTGGGCAGACCAACTGACTTGATGGGTATCCATCTAACCAAACATTCCTGATATCATCCCACGCTTTTTCTATTCTTCTATACATCCAACTCCGGTTTCCAGAAACGACAAAAAACATTCGAGGTCAGATTTTCTACTCTAGATTGTCACGCACCCAGCCCCTCGACATCTCAACCGCCTGCTCCCACTTTTTGAACATTTTCAGGTTCTTCTCGCGCTCGGCGGATGGCGTGAACACTTTCCGGCCGGTCTGGTTGACGTTCTTCAGGTCGTCGAGCTCGTTCCACACGCCCAGCGCGAGGCCGGCGGCGATGGCGGCGCCGAGGGCGGTGGTCTCGCGCATGGCGGGGCGGTCGACGCGGATGCCGCTGATGTCGGCCTGGGCCTGCATGCACAGGTCCGAGTTGGAGAGTCCGCCGTCGACGGCGAGGGACTCGAGGGCGTGGCCCGAGTCCTTGGCCATGGCGTCGAGGATGGCTTTGGTCTGGTAGCAGGTCGCCTCGAGGGTGGCGCGGGCGATGTGGCCCTTTTGGGTGTGCTGGGTGATGCCGAAGAGGGTGCCTTTCGCGTCGTCGATCCAGTAGGGCGCGAAGAGGCCGGAGAAAGCGGTGACGAAGACGACGCCGCCGTTGTCTGGGACGGAGGCGGCGAGGTCGGAGATGTGGGCTGCGGAGTCGACGAAGTTGAGGTTCTTGACGAGGAATTTCACCCCGGAGCCGGCGACGGCGATGGAGCCCTCGAGGGCGTAGACGGGCTTGCGGTTGTTGCCGAAGTCGTAGGCGACGGTGGCGAGGAGGCCTGACTTGGAGATGACGGGCTCGTGGCCGACGTTGTAGAGGAGGAAGCAGCCGGTGCCGTAGGTGTTTTTGGCCTGGCCCGGGAGGAAGCCGCACTGGCCGACGAGGGCGGAGGACTGGTCGCCGAGGCAGCCTGCGATGGGGACGCCGGCGAGGGGGCCCGAGGCGAGCTTGCCGAAGGCGGTCGGGTGGGAGGAGGGGACGATTTTGGGGAGGGCGATTTTGGCGGGGTCGATGTCGAAGAAGGAGAGCAGGGTCGGGTCGTATTTGAGGGTGTGGAGGTTCATGAACATTGTGCGGGAGGCGTTTGTGGAGTCGGTGACGTGGATTTGGGGAGAGGCGGAGGCGCCGCCGTTGAGGCGGTAGATGAGCCAGGAGTCGACGGTGCCGAAGGCGAGGTGGCCTGCGTCGTAGGCCTCGCGGACGCGGGGGAGGTTGTCGAGGGCCCAGCGGAGCTTGACGGAGGAGGGGTAGGTGGAGAGGGGCAGGCCGCAGAGGGGCTGGAGGGCGTCTGCGCCGGGGCGGGCGCGGAGGTCGCGGACGAGGGGGGCGGTGCGGGTGTCGGGCCAGACGATGGCGTTGTGGAGGGGCTCGCCGGTGCGGGCGTCCCAGAGGACGGTTGTCTCGCGCTGGTTGGTGATGCCGATGCCGCGGATGGCGGAGGCCGGGTGGCCGAGGGCGGTGAATTTGGCGAGGGCGGCGGAGATGCATTCCTCGACGGAGGAGAGGAGCTCCAGGGGGTCGTGCTCGTGCCATCTGGTGAGGGAGGTGTGTTAGTGAGGATGGCGGGAGGAGAGTAGAAGGAGAGTGAGGGGAGGAGTTTACCCTGAGTGAGGATAGTGGTTCTCAAACTCGATCTGGTGCATGGCGACGGGGTCGCCGAGGCCGTTGAAGATGAGGAAGCGGGTGGAGGTGGTGCCCTGGTCGATGCTGCCCACGAACCAGTGTTTCTGAAGCTCTTCGTCGGTCTCGGTGATGCCCGCCGGGAGGTGCTCGCCCTCGGCGGCGGCGACGCGGGCGCGTTTGGGGTCTCGTTGGTCGGACATTGTGTGTTGAGATCTGTGGTTGGGTTGTGTGAGTTTGGGGAAGAAGTCGTGAAAGGAGTAGGACAACAGGAGGGATGGGTATAAGAAGAGGTAATGAAGGCTAGGGCTATGGGGAAGGGGGGTATCACGCGCGCCGATGCAGATTTGACGATGGGGGTTATTTAGCTCGAAGGCGCGGAAGCAATGGACTTGGATGGCGGGGCGTGGGAATTTTACAATGGGGAAACGGGGAAGAGGCAAAGGTGAAGTAAGTACCTGGTTAAATACGCCGTCGGCCGAGGCCGGTGGTGAGAGATATTCCCGGGAGGCGTGGCCCGCGTCGTCCCGCTGGTCTGGGACCTGCGATGGAGCAGCTCGGTCTGGATCGATGCAGCAGAGCCAGAGGTCAGGGTGTGGATGGGACGGGAGCTGCTGACAGCTTGTCGTGGGGCAGCAGCAGCAGCAGCAGCGCCGGGATGGTGGTTGTGGTAGCAATATGCGGCTGCGGTGCTAGTCGTGCTAATAGACGCATGCTTTCTCAGGATCGCCAGGGTAGTAGTCGAATTCAAATTTCGGACGGACTGGCGCGGACGGGGGATGACGTCGGGCAGGTTAGCGGGCGGGGCTGTGTGATTGGAGGAAGAATTGAGGGGTTGCTGGCGTTGTGTCTCGCTGCATGTGCTGCTGCTGCTGCGATTCAACGGCTGCCGCTGTCGTGGTAGCGCGGAATAGCAACGACGAGAACGCCATGGCGGGCGAGCAGACAACGGCGCTGGCGGCGTTGTCGGAGATGGCCTCGGTGAGTGTGGAGCTGTAGCAGTCGTTGTTGCCCGGGCCGGGTATCTGGTTTTGGGGATCGCCAGGGGTCGTTGGATTCTGGGGAGTGATTGGGGAGCAGCAGTTGCAGCTGCTCTGGGGAGGCGCATATTTTTTTTTTGTCCCTTGTGATGGGTTTGCAGTGATTTTGCGACTACGGTTTTCCGAGATGCGTTTTTGGGTGGGGTTTTCGGTCGGGTCTTTCGGGGTTCTGGGACCGAGGATCCATTTAGTGTTCATGGGGTACCCTTGTGGGGAGGATGGGACGGTTCACCGAGGGGTCCTGGGTTCGGTGTGGTGGACCGGGGTTGAGGGGATCGTGATCGCGATCGTGGGGTTGGGTGTCGTTGATGTTTTCGTCTGGTGACGGTGAGGTATTCTGAGATGCTGGGTCGCACAGTCAAGATGGATGTGATGAAAGCCGCCGAGAGGGTTGATATAGCGATTGACGACCTGCCCTCTCAACAACCGAGCAGGAGTAAGTGGCCGTGAATATGCCCAGTAATTGTACAGCAGATATACCAGCTGAAACACAGAGATCACGCTTATCCACTCAGGACTTGGGTTTGATTCTGGGTCGGTTCACTTTTTATTTAGTTTCTGTTAGCTTTTCGCCCTTTTTCTGGTTTCAACAAATTTGCAAAGCCATCATCATCCCGGTCCTGTCCTTCATCACATCCCGTCTTCTCAATTCAAACCCGCATAGTCTGGCAGCCACCGCGAGTAGAGAAAGTCGCTGGAAGAAGACAGAGATGTCATCAGCGTTAAGGCGAATTGCGCTGGAAAGAGTGATGAAGGCTTTGCAGACGTGCGTTTCTCGCTCCTGGTGTCTCAGATCTTCACCCAAGCTGGAACATTATGTGTTCTGAAGCAATACTCTCAGTGTCTCCCAAAGCCACACTTTCGTCAGAAGCAGAAGGGAGATTTCGGTTGCTAAGAGGAGGATATCTGGTCTGCGCCAAATATCGATGTCCGCTCAGAATCGTGATCTCTGCTGCCCGACCTCTCCGTACTCCTGGCCTTCCTTGCACGTCGCCCATTATGCCTGTCCCATCCCTAAGCTAAATGGCGAAATATCCTTCAATCTATTTGGTCCCTGGATACGAATTCATGAGATCTATTATCACGCAAGCTCGCCGACTTCAGGCGTGGTATTTGTACATTGGTCTGGCCAGGACAATGAACAGACTGGCGGGTTTCCAAGTGAAACATCCATAATACGCAGCATCAGTTCCAGCAAAGACATGATGAACACTCGTAGTATTTTAATGGTGTCAGTAAAATTGTGACTCCTTTTCTAAATGATAATCTACTTCGGCTGGCTGCTCTTCCAGCCCTCTCCCAATCCTTCTGATACCCCTTTTCCCATTACCCATCAGTCTTCCATCTAGCTTGCAACTGCTCCCATGGCCTTTTCTCATCAGAAAATTCCTTTCAGACTACTCGAGGAAGGAAGTAACTGCTATGGATATGACTGGCACCCGCCTCCATAGACGGTTAGGGCAGACATCGTGAGCGCTGAGCACACACTCTGGATCGACCACCCCGCGGGGTGAGGAAGGTTGCTGGCGGGTCCAGCAAGGAGTCAATGCCCTTTTTGTGTTTTTTATCCTCTCCTTCTCTCTGGCGAGTTCGATCTTTTTCCAGAAACACGTCGCGATCTTGCCTTGTTTGCTGTCGAGGGCAAACAAACCAAGCAAACACTACCCGTTCTCTTGACCAGTCGACGGACTTACAAGGTAAGATAACCCCCTCAAACCCACGAGACCTGGATTACCGAGTGGCATTTTCGACTTCAGTCATTTTTCTTTACGTCACGTTTTTGTTGCGGTCGCGGTTTTGGTGGACGTCGACGTGGCGTTGACGGCTTCAACGGTCGGCGATGCGTCTCGTCGGCTTCATCTCTGCTGTTGCTTTCATCGTCTCCATCTTCAGATTAGGCGTCAACTCGAGCGTCCCCCTGTTTTTCCTGTGGTCAATTTTCCCACTATTTTTTCCTGTCCAAAAGTCCCAGTGCTGAGGCGAAGGACGGCGAGATCAACCTCCAGAATGCTGTTCTAACATACTATCAGACACACATTCGCTCCTCTACTTGCACAAGATTGTCCATCAACTCCAACATGCCCTTCCACAAGCCCGTTCGACACAGCCCCGGCCGCAGTGGTGTTGGTAGCGGCGTTAGAAGACACCATACTCGAAGTCAGCCAGCTTCGCCCCTCTCCCCTCGCAGGCCCGTTACTCCTGTTGCTGCTATTAAGAAGAAAGTCCGGTTCGTTAAGACTCAGAAGACTCAGGCCAAGGCTGGTACCTCCACTTCTCTTGCCCAGTTTTCCTCTACTCAGCCCGAGGAACTCTCTGAGAAGGCCATCGTCGACAAGATGCCTCTTTCTCAGGCCGCCGATGGCGGTAACATTGTCAAGACCGCCGAGAAGGACAAGAACCCCGTCACCTTGGCCATCAACACTGACAACACTATTGCTTCTTCTTCCGGCCTTCCCCTGAAGCAAGCTGCTTCGACAGCCATCAACACCAACGGCCTTCTCACCCCCAAGCCTTCGCATGACATCATCCAGACCGCCCAGAAGGGCGCTCCGGCCAGCCTCCTGGCAAACGGCCTCGGTCAACAAATGGACCTTGTTGGAAGACCCATCGGCCAGTCCGACCAGACTCCTGTCGACCCCGTCGTCGTCGCTCTTGACCATTGGATTCGAAACACCAACGACGGCAGCATCGCTGAAGCCCCCAAGCTCCAAGGCTGTGGCCCCTGGGAGGTTCCTCTGCCTCCCGGCATGGACCCAGCCGTCCATGTCAACCCCCATTCGCCCATTTTGTGCCGCTACCTCGACTGCTGGATTATCGGTCCTGAGGGAGCTCCATTGCTGAAGGTTCACATTCATCCCCTCATGCGAGGCCGGCATACGGAGGAGTATGTCGCCAAGAAGTGGACCGCCTGGAAGATGATGTTTGCCTGGGTAGAGCACCTGGAGCAGTACGGCAAGAACGATGCCCACGCCCCCATGGATATCGTCTCCTTTGTCCGGAACAGAATCGTCTGGGAGGGGAAAATGGCTAGAGAGGGGGCCGCGAGAGCCATAGCGAATCGCGAGGACAGTGCCATGTTCGGCGGCAGAGACAAGTGGTACTTGCCTGCCGTCCGCAGGGGCGGACCCTTTGACAATATGTTCCGATCCATGATTGGCAGCGCCCTGGTCAAGGTTCACAATGACGAGGCTCTGAAGAAGGTTGCCGCTCACCCCCCGGGCGACAACAGCATTGCCCACATCATTGCCAGCTCGAAGTATGTCAACACCGACGCAGGTGTCAAGGATCCTGTCCTTGATTCCGCCGCCAACGACGCCCCCGAGCAGCCCAAGGACGCCAACTCTACGGCTGGTGTTAAGCGTCCTGCTCCCCAGCCCGATGCTGCTCAGCCGGCTGTCAAGCCCGCCCCGAAGCAGCCCCTTGAGGTCATCGTCGTCGACGACTCTGACGACTCCAGTTCCAGCTCTGACTCGGAGGATGAGCCCCTGGCCAAGCGCGCTCGCAAGAATCCTCAGCCTAAGCGTGCCACCAAGCCTGCCGCCGAGAAGACCGAGACCGAGGCGAAGCCTCGCCGCAGAGGCAGACCCGTTGGCAGCAAGAACAAGACCACTGCCAAGAAGACCGCCGGAAAGAAGGCTGACAATACTGAGATCAAGGCCTCTGGCAAGGAGACCGATGATGCTGTCGACAAGAATCTCGACAAGGAGTCCAACAAGACCGACGACAAGGATGCTGACAAGCCCGTCCGCAGAATGATCCGAATCAAGGTCCCCGCAAAGGCCGCCGAGAAGCTCGCTGCCATGGACGACGCCGAGCGCGAGGCCGAGGCCAATGGCAAGCCTGCCGCCGACAAGTGAGAGATTAGCGTCATGGGCAGCTACTTTGGGTGGAACTTGTGCGATAGAGTATTGGCAACGGGAGTCAAGGTTGGACCGAGTGGCTACCCGTTTTGATCAGATTGAGATTTGCTTTTGGACGACCAGATTCAGGTTCGGCGTATGAACAGTTGGGCCAAGGATACCCAGAGCAGGTTGGGCTGGAATCGCCGTTGTGTAGCTACAGACAGAAGCTTTGCTCTCTCGTAACGTATAAAAGGGAGTTTCCCACAAACCGCCGGTGTCTTTTATCGTGACTGGTGTGGTTTTGTTGGTTGGTCTTCATTCTCGTAGGTGCTCGTCGTCTTTTTGCTTGCGACGTATCTGTATTGTTTGTTTTCTTTATCATTGCCGCTGAGGTTTTGCAATTGTCTCTTTAGAGAAGGTATTAATACCGAGATTGCAAAAGAGTGATCATCTTCTGTGGTCTTCGCCACGATGTGCTAGGTCTTTATTTTCTGAAACAGATTATCGAGAATTGCCCATCTATTCAAAATCTGATGCTCACTTGAAGATTTCGACGTTGTGGTGAATGCTGCTGCTCCGGAGGGAAGGGTAAATAAGCAGGCTTCCTGTGGGAGTCTGTCACAGCGAGCAGGGAAAGTGGCCGCGGATATGCCCAGTGATGGCCTAACGTGTCAGCTGAACGCGAGATTCCATGTTACCTGAATCCAGAGCTTCTGGGTTCGAACCTCGCTTTTTGTATTTCTTTCAACTCCTTCTTTTCATTAACAAAAGCACTTTTTTTTTTTTTTTGAAAAAAAAAAGAAAAAAAAAAAAAAGGAGAAGAAGCAGAGACCGGGTTCCAATCCTTTGATCCCTGGTAGCCACCCACACCACTGGTCGGTTGACCAGTTGAGCAAGTTGGATCCGAGGCAAGTCCGATAGCACCAATGACAACCCAGGCATTCAATCTCACTATAAAGCTTCCAGGCAGCAGTGGTGGTGCAAAAGCGGAAGGTGCGAGATGAGGTGAGCTGGGTATGAAGGCAACGTGAGTTGGGGGCTAGTGGCCAAGCTCAGCTCACCAGACATCCGAGTTCTAGACCTCACCCGTATTGAAACTAGTCATCTCTTTGCTAGGCATTGGATTATGCAGCGAGACATGATGTAACTTGAACGTGTCTTTTGCCTCACAACTCGTCCGTATGTGGGATCTTGTCCCGAGATTTCTCAACATCTTTTCAGTAGCAGGCATGCAGAGTATCATTCATTGGACCGGTGCCGAAGTTGACAAGCCTCTAGGTAAGGCTGTAGCTGACAAAAGGAATCGACCTTACCATCTACGGCAAACACAGGTACTAGCCAAGAAAAACGCTGACACCAAGCCTCAGTGGCTGTTCCCAATCCCCGTCGAAGCTTGAACTACACTTTCCTCAGGACACGTAACCATGGAAGTTGAAGGTAAAGAACAATCTCAGATGTGTGTATTAAAACACCTCGTCTTCCCGAAAACTCCTGAAGATGGCGAACAGTGTTAAAGCAGGCCGTTACAGATTGACAAGACCCCTTCAAGTCTTCGTGCTGCTTGAAGGATTGGCAACATGGGCAAAATCAATATCGAAAGCTGCCCCACGCTCACCATGGAAGAAGAACCAATGGGCTTCCATATTAATGAAAAGGTAGGCAGTGGCAACCCCTTGGCGATATGTCGACCTATGAACTCAGTCTCAGTCTGACATTGCAACTATACTGACCTTCTTGCAGGAAACGCTTTCGAGGTCTCGACGATCTCCGCTTTACCACCTCAAGACGCTCTACCTCTTCACAAAAAGCGACTGCAAGACAGTGGTTCTTCCGCAAATGCTCTTCGCAATTTCCAGCATTCTCACCAACGGCTTCCGGGATCTCGACACCCCGCCCACTCTCACTTTGACCACCTTCTTCAAGCCCCTGATACACGCTGTGATTTGGATATATGCCAATCTTCTTCTCGAGAACCTCGCAAACCAACGTCTTCCGGGATCCATGGTTGAAGATGCCGCCAACAAGCCCTGGCGACCCCTGCCATCGGGCCGGATAACGGCAGACCAAACCAGACGGATCGCGCTCCATCTCGTGCCAGCGCTCATGATCTTCGGGGCATATAGCGGCGCTTTCCGCGAGACGACGAGTTTCATTGCGTTTGTGTGGATGTACAATGATCTCGACGCTGCTGACACGAGCATATGGTGGCGGAACGTGGCAAATGCCTTGGGTCTCATGGCGTTTTCTGCGGGAGCCCTGGCGATTACGGGCGGGACGGTTGAGTATGGCCTGGAAAATCCGGCAGTAGTATGGATATTGACGACGGGTGCCGTTGTTCTCACGACGATACATGCCCAGGACTTGCCAGATGTTGTTGGCGATAGAGCGAGGGGGAGGAAGACGGTGCCGCTTGTTTATGGGGATGGAGTGGCGAGGTGGACATTGGCAGTGGGGGTCATTTTGTGGTCTGTATTTCTTCCGATGTTCTGGGAACTCGGTTGGGCGGGCTACGCGGTTGTTATAGGACTTGGGTTGTCTATGGTCTGTGGAACGCTCTGGAGAAGAACGGTGGATGACGATGAAGTTGTTTGGAAGATTTGGTGTGCTTGGGCCGGATTGATGTATCTCTTGCCATCTCTCAAAGTCTTTTCTCTATGAAAATCAATTATCTATCTGGGTACATTAAAGGCGCCTAGAACAGCCGCAAGCCGCTCTGTTGCCATTGTAGACATATTCGCTTGAAGGACTCATAGCTCTATATTAATCAGAAACTACTTTGCTTCAGTAGTTCGAGGAAGAAAATGCTTCCACAAACGCAAACCTGCTTGATCATACACATAGATCAAAGGAGTAATGCCGGTACACTTAGGTACGGTCTAAACGTATGCTTGATCATAGACTTAGATCAAAGGGTAAATGCCGGTACACTGAGGTACGGTTTCAACGTAGGTAACACACCATATCTTGACGACCACAAATGCGCCTCCGATTTACAACATGTCGCTGAGTGATATATCTAAGCGAAGGGAAGCAAAGAAGGAGCCGCCGAGGATCAATCCTGGGATCGCATGGTGAATGAACTCGAAGATCGGGTCCGACTCTCGGAGGACCTTAACAAGCAAGACAGAAAACAAGAATGCTTTCAGAAGAAACCTGCAAGAGTCAGCTGGTTGCCAGGGGTTGAATCGGTCAGAAGCAAGACTGAACCTTGATTCTCCGCCTTGCGCCATACAGGCCCAGATGAAACAGAGTAACGAGCTCCCGACCGTTGCAAGCAAAAACGACCTACGAAGCTACGTTAGGCTCCTTCCAGCTAATACTTTCAACCAGGACGAACCAAAACCAGAGATTATCCCGGAATCCCCTTTCGTGACGCGTTACAACGACAAAATAGGAAGGAATCGCATTGAGAATGGCAAAGCCGTTTCGTAAAACTGATTTCCACTCGCGGCGGCAAAATCCAATTGGCACAGCAATCCTATGAAGTAGCAATACATGTCAGTAGAACGAATTTGGATAGAATCGTGGAAAGTAGAAGGTGTTGCGAACCATTCGTAGTTGAAGAGGGACTCTTTGAAGGACAGACGAAGCCTGTCTTGCACGAGGGAGAAATGGGCGGTGGCAAGAGAGCCATCTCCCGACATTGTAGCAGAAAGGCGAGCAACGTTAGAATCTAGAGAATGATTCTTATTGCATGAGATGCGTGCTTGGAGATGGCAGTGGTAGGACTATGGGAGCAGTCCGTCCAGCTTTTGCGGGGTCGAGAAAGAGGATGGATGTTTGCTTGTCGCACTTTTCACCAGATAAGACAGCGAGCATAAGGTAGCACAAATGGCCGCTTATTTGGCACTCAGCCACAAGGAGGGAGCCCAAGAAGTGAGGGGGTATCACGTGTGGTGTGGTGACACAAATTGGACACAATCAGGCTGGCCATCTGGCGTCACGCACACATTCCATGAAACTGCTGAGTCTTCTTTTCTGCCGCTGCAGACAGAAGTCCAGGCGATCCTGAATCAAGCTCGATTTCACCCAAGATCCAGAACTTCATAATCATCCAGATGGATGCACTCTGCATATTCGTGCCAGTCTTTGGTCTCTGTGACGTCGGGATAACGCTCGCGCGAATAGTTCAAAACTTCCGCGATGTCAGCGAAATCAACGGGAGACTAGTGACCGAGATTCAATCACTTAAAGATGACGTGGGGGTGCTTGGAAAGCTGCTCATGGACATGAGAGACATCACAAACGAGAAGTACAGTCAACCTTCCCTCTTGAAATCTGCAAACAACTCGCTGACTTGGATGCGTGAACAGGTCTCGATGCCTCGAGGGCTTCGTCAACGAGCGCGAGACCTTTCGAACACCACCGGAAATACAGCTGTACTGCGACAAGAAAAAGCGTTTGAAGCGAGTTATCGCAGAAATGATTTCGAAAGTCACCGCATGGAGCAGCACTGGAGTCCTCAGCTTTCATGGTCTAGCTTTGAGTCGGGGAGGGCTCTTAGAGAGGCGCTTGGAAGATGCAATGAGCCCATCGCCTCTCAATCTTGACCAGGGAGGATATTTGAGCAAGGTACAAGCCCCTATGGATTCTATGTTCGAATCATTACTGAACAGTCTTTGTATCGTCATAGATGATGTCTCTCGTTGCAGACCTACCACCCGGGGCTCTTTTCTTAGCCACACTTGCCTATGGAGTCGGCGTTTCCATCATATACCATCTCCATAACTCTGACGATCGCTTCCAAGATAGCTTCCTCGCGACAGGAATTACCATTGGACTACTTTCTGGGACACTTGCAGGGCAGAGTGCCGAGACAATTCTGCTGCGGATTCTCCCAGGCGCTATCATCTCGACACTCTCGCTTAGTGCTTTCAGTCATCGACTGGCTCGCACTTCCAAGTGCATCAAGGCCGAACTTTAAGTAAATCAGTATGAAAGCCTATAGAATGCCGCTGAAACTCGTAGAGTGCCACGAGGATCACAGAAGGATATGAGCTGCTGATGTGATTATT